CTGAGTTGCTTGAAACCTTTTGTTTCAAAAGAGAAAATTCAGTCCTTTAATAACCAGGTGTCTTCATTCACTATAATTAACTATGGGGTGCCTCAAGGGTTAATTGTGGGACCAATCCGATTCTGTTTTTGTGCTCTATTGGGTAATATTGTTTCTAGACATTGTCTTTTCTTTTGATGACACACAGCTGTATGTATGTCCCTAACAGTATGCCTTAGCTGATGTAAGAAACTGAAAGAATTTTCTTTAAACAAACACAAACAAAACAGAAATTCTTGGTATTAGTCACAGCAAAACACACATTTAAAAACTCAAACTCTACTGGGTACCTTTCAAGTTACATTAAGCTTGTTGTAAGAAATCTTGTTTGTTTGTATCTTAAGCTGTGAGCAGCACATAAAAAAACTTATATGAACATGTTTTTTTCAACTCAGAAGCATTTAACCTATTTTAAGTTTTAAAGATACAGAAACGATTTTACATGTTTTTATCTCATCACACCCGGATTACCGCTTTGTTAAATGCCTGAAGAATACAAGATATGTAGAGTATAGACAGGTTTAAAACACATCACCCTAGTTTTCTTTACACTGACTTAGCTACTTTCATTTTAATATGGTTGTGTAGTTGGTTCTTTCTCTGTTGACTCTGTTTTTATATTATGGTTTCTGTGATCTTTGATTGCTGAGTGAAGCATTTTGTAACTTTGTGCTTATGAGTGCTTTATAAATAAAGATGATGATGATGCTGCTATATGGAACGTCAGATCATCAGTTATTAAGACTCATCTTATGGGCACTGCAGATAAGTTTCTGTGGGACATTTCTTTGCATTTCATCAGGTTGATATCTGAGATCTCTTCGTCTGCACCAAAGCTGTGCACTCACTGACAGACTGACCTGAAGCAATGTCGCTAGCTTGGCTACAAATTTTCATCACGCAGCTCTTGATCACCTAATAGTTATGTTTTTAGTCACAGGTACCTTATTCATTGTAGGGACCTTGCAGTGTCTTGAGCAAGCAGAAATGATCTTTGTTATGGCATTATGAGTTTGGATCATATATTGATAAGTGTGCTGGGTGAACACGCTGTGCTCTGTAGGGATGCGTGAAATCGCTCCCTCCAAAACATGAAGGCTGTGTGAATGTGAGAAGAATTCAGCCTCGGCTTAGGGAACAATGATATTTTACATTTCACCAAAGTAGTGAGTAATTCATGGCTGACATAAGAACACAAATCGACAGCCCAAAGAACCTGTTGATTTCAGGCAGCTGTCACAGGACAACACATCTGGTGAGTGTTGACTGATTTTGAGACTCTTTATTTCAGTGTGATCACTATGTTTTTAGCATGCAACTGACTTTACAGGACCTACGGTATATTTCTGAAAAGGAAACTACTTTTTGTTTTATTGCTTGGCTGCACCAGCGTGATGCCACAACAGTAACGGTGTCCTGATTGTTTCTGCCTACAACCCACATTGATGTGTGTATTCAAAGACCTGCACGAGCACATCATGTTACCTTGAGGTTTCTGTGAACAATGCGCAGGGAGTGGAGGTAGGCGACGGCCTCCAGCACTTGGCGCACCACGTTGCTGGTGTCTCGCTCTGAGTAGTAGCCTTGATCCAGGATCCAGTCAAACACCTCTCTGCCTGTTGCACTGTGGAAAAGGGAAAGTTATGTTACATGGTTGTTGTTGTTGAAAGTTAGGAATGAGATTTTATCTCAGCACTGAAAGCTTTCAGACATCAATCTCCATTTTTTTTTTTTAAAAAGCCTGTCAGCTGTCTTTGCCGTTGGAGGTGTTGAAAAGAGATGACAATGAGGCAGCCAGGTGAATCAGTGGCACACAATGCAAACTGCAATGTCATCGGTTAAAATCGTACTGAAAAGCTTTCTGTCATGCCTCATTCTTTTGCTGCCTTCGCTTTCTTCCATCAACTGTTCAGAGAAACGCAAAAAAAAAAAGATTTGGTAATATCAAGGGCAGGTACGGGGGAGGCGACACAAAAAAGAAATGTTTCTCAAGAGCAGTTCCTGAAGTTGACACCAAAGGTGCAGCGAAAAGTCCTGTTATATAAAATGTATACAGAAGAAAAACACAACATAACGAAGGTAATAGTATATATACATTATATTTTACCATCTTTTTTTTTTAAACAAGTCTTCATTTATTTTTAGAAATATAAACAAAATCACATAATTTTACATGGGGAAAAAATAAAGAGCATGCTTTGAACCTAATTACAGAAAGTAGGATAAGTTAATCTTCATATTATGGAAACGTTACTGTAACCATTTACAAAAGGGTTTTAGTGATAGAATCTAGATTTAAAATTGAACCCTGTAGTCTATATTATAAATTCACATCTGTCCTTTGTAACAAACCAAACCATTTAAGAGGATGGTGACTTTAATTAGATAGATAGATAGATAGATAGATAGATAGATAGATAGATAGATAGATAGATAGATAGATAGTCCTCCTGCCTACAAAGACACACATGCATTCGAAGCATCAAGTATATATAAAAGATCGCGGTGGCCCAAACAGTCTGTGATGAGAAGCTGCAGCTGCTTTCTACCAATATAGCTGCAACTTAAGATTCAACTGCGTGTACAAACTGCAGTGTGGTTACAATTGTAAACATGTTTTATTCTGATGAGCGGTAGCAGTAAAGAAAAATGTCCTTTTTTTTTTAAACTAGCCTTTGCAAAGCAGCTTCTTACTTGAGTTCAGCCACCACTGACACTTACCAGGTTGCTCGTACTGATGGTTGATTGTTGTTGGGGGTTTGGACAAAACCCCTGTGAGCCATCAGGGTTGATGCAGTGTTTCTGAACTTAAAAGTACATTGTTTTGCATCTATAATTAGCACAAGTGATTTCACTGCAACTGTTACATTACTTCACCTCACACTGTGTGCTTACAGTGAGGATTGTAATTTCCACTCATGTGTAATATAAAAATATATGATTCTAATTTGGTAAATTGAAAAACATTGTATATTCATATTAAAATGTTGCCTTTTCAACAATAATATCTTTTGACATGATTACACGAGGGAAATGATGAATATTATTTCCCCATGGATGTTTATTTTGCATCTGGTGGGTTTTTTTTTCTTGTTGTTGTTTCTCTAAAGCAGAATTCGTAAACCCACAAACCAAGTGTCCTCAGAGGAGGAGACAAGTATCCTACATTTAACATTTCCATGGAAATGCATCGAATTCCCCAAGAACACATGCCGACGAGAATGGAGCAGCAAGCAAGCGATCATATCTGAATACCAAATGAGTGGAGCTCAGAGCCGTTCTCATATCTGCAGGGCCTTGGGCTACAACAGCTTATTCCCCACGAGTGTATAATCAACAGATGCAGTTCAGGCCTGAGCCATGGCAAAGACAAGCAGAGCAGCCTTTCCCCCCAGCTCATCAGACATCTGAACTCACAGTTCAAGGAAGAGGAAGTACTCTTTCTTGGTCTCGTAGACGTCCACCAGTTGGAGAATATTGGGATGCTTCACCCTAAGGAGATGTTTCAGAAAGACAGAAAGAAAGATCTGCTTTAATGCTCATGAATAACACACTGCAGCAGGGGAGCAAGCATGAAGAAAAAAATCAAATTGCGAGACATAATCAATTAAATTTACTTCAGCACATGTAATCTACATGCTAATGCATGTGATCTGATGCATCCATATGGGCATAAAGAAAACCAGCGCAGCAGTGCTGGGCTGAGGAAGCACACTTGTTTACTTCATGATGATTTTTTAAACTAAAGCTGTGTCGTAAATTGTTTCCCAATTAATTCCAAACTCACAGGGGTTATTAACTGCATGAAAAATTGAAAATTGGTACATCTTTACATCATCATTTTTGCTGTGCATCAGGTGCAGTGTTTCATAACTGTAATTTTAAATGGATACATCGGGAGTCAGGGAAAAGCATTGCATTGTGGGATTTTCTTTTAGCACAGGCATGCAAGTACCTTTTTACAGTTTGTGTTCCAGACTTTGGATTTTAAATTATACGTGTTATGTGTAATTTAGTATCCAAAATTCAAGCTCTTAAATAAATAGCAGGAAGTGAATGTAGTCCAGTTGGGATTAAATGGTTAGAGATTCCTGACACGTAGGAGCTTGACTTTGTGGACAGCTACATGTGGACTATAATATTGTGCTTTTTTACAGCTAGTCAGCGGGTATTGTCTATGAACAGCTGCTGCAATAACCTATAGCTGTTTTCTACTGCAGGAGTTTACAGGCTGTTTTAGGGTGTCCCTAACCTCAGAGTTCTGACTGCATGAATCGTCCATGTAGAACATCCATTAGGGTGTTTAAGGGCAGAGAAAAAAGTTTGTACTTCAGGGAAGGTACATCTGAAGAAGCTACTGTGCAGATCTCGACACTGGTTGGTTAAAATTTGGAGAGGACGCTTTGTTTGCCCTCACACCCCTCCTGGGGTATAAGCCATAGCCAAGGGAACTCCAGAGAACCTGGTCTTGTACTTTTCCTTCCAGTTAGGTCCAGGTGTACCCAAGCTTGTGACATCCGTTTGTAGATCCCTTCACCAGGTGTTCTTTGTTCTCTTTCTTTGAGGGTTCCAGGTCAGGGCTTGTCTGATGATGCTGTTACTGTTTTTTGTAAAGTAAACCCAACCCAGTGCCTTTTTTTTTTTTTTATTGGTAATTGCTGCGTTTCCCACCTTAGATCTTTTTTTACTGATCTTATCGAGCCAGTGTATCTTGAGCATCTTTCTTAAGCAGTTATTGACAAACGTCTGCCTTTTACTGATCGTATTTTTCGTCACTCTCCAAGTTTCGGAACGTAAAGATGATTGATTATATATGGAACGACACGACAAATGCTTTTTCTGTCCCGTTAATGTCCTCGTCAAGTAGCAGCCCGCTCGAACATCACCATCAACAATGTAAGTTCCTCATATAGGCCAACATAACGAACCCTCCATTGTTCGATTTCCCCACATGTCAATAGAAGTATATTTGTTGCAATTAAAGATGTTGGATTCACACAATGGAAACAAAAAGGCTGATCAGAAGATGGTTCCTTTAAACATTTCCACTGCGCTGAGTCCCTGCTGTGGAAAGTCGCCTGTTACTATACAGGAGTCATTTCTGCTACTCACAGTCCTGTGTGTGAGCTCAATGCATTGGCCTACAGTTCTGATAAGCACAAGAGTGGTCCTCTAAATTAAGTAATACCACTATAATAGTTGTGACAAAGTTCTTGCACATCATTAAAGATCCCCTCCAGACATGTTTTAATACTGAAATAAAGACAGTGTCTAATATGGTTCCCCCACAAAAAAAGTTTAATTGCCTAGTTAAGGAATCTTAAAAATTATATCTACTCCTTCTCTGTTATTAAAAAAAAAAAGTCCAGAATCTATAAATATGCAAATGTTCTTCATTTCGGAAGTTTAATTGCAGGACAAAAGATGTCTCCTACTTTTTAAAAAGTGTGTGTGTACGCCTGAGGGTTCATGTTTCCACATCAGACTGGTGTCAGCAGCATACTGGACCAGGACTGGCTTTCCAACTAGTTGTCATGTCTCTTGTGTTAAAAATCAAATAAATGCGAAAACAACTCAGCACATACAAAGGAACAATATGTAAATGCATTGAGTGGGGGGGGGGGGACCAAAAACTGAAACAACACACCAAATTGTCAGTGCAAGAGATTTATTTATTTATTTTTGGTTCATTCTAAGTAATAATAATAAAAAAAGATTAATACTTGAATGAGTCCCTCTTTTCTATTCTAATGCCTATATTAAAGGATTTTTCTTTCAAAACTATATTTGATGTTTTTCTGCCAATTATTCACAGCCTTTCACAGTGTCACCACATTTGATTTTTTTACTCAAACCCTCCCTTCCTCCCCCAATAGATGATTAGAGCATGAAAAGCAGGCGAGGGGCACATCCCTGTTATTGAGGCGTCTGAAGTCTAATTTTCAGAAGAATATGAGTTCATGTTTTGAAAAGCCTTCCTATAAAGAAATCACACCTTCATCTCCATCTTGCTCCGCCGCGCCGCTCGCTGTCAGCAACAAATAGTTTGATAAGGCTCAGGTTATGCTAATGTGGGCTTTACTGGAAAGTTAGATAATCAGAGAGAAGCTGTGGGAAAATAACGTCTCAGGTAAACTGAGCACCGAGTTGATGCTGTTTGGGGAAATTTTTTTTTCGAGAAGATGAAATAGAGACCGTCTCATTGCAAAAACCCATCATTAACCCACAATGAACAACTCACATCTTTAGGATGAGGATCTCATTTTTGGCAGCCTTGCGGACTTTCCTCCCGTCCTTTTTCAGGAACTTTTTACACGTGTACATTTTCATTGTAGTTTTGTCCTTGGCCCTGAATATCTCGCAGAACTCCTCCCTGAAAAGAAGCATTTAATTTAGTTTTACTTAGATGTATTTAAAAAAAAATAAGACATAAAGCATCATGAAGGTGTATAGATTAAAGACTCTAGTTGCTACTGTTGAGATACTTACGATTTAACGATCTGGCCCAGATCATATTTATCTGTCACGTCCGAAGGATTGTTGTAATCCTTCTTTTCCCCGATTGTTAAACAGCCAAATGGCATGGCCACTTCCTGACCTGTGGTGGGAGAAGAAGAGACACAATGAAACACACAGGAAGATAGGCAAAACACTTCCATCAATCTGAATGATTATTTCTTCAATTTGGCCTCTCACTGTGCCATTATATTACACCGGATGATGACTTGGCAGAAACGTGGCCTTCCCTCAGTCATAAAGAATTACTCCAGTAATGCTGAGAAAGCCTTTCGAAAAGTGTGAGAGCTAAAGAGCCACCAGAGGCAGCATTTTTGTCTCACTTAACTTAGTGTAACAGAGCTTTTCATGATCCTGCATTAATAAAGGGCAAAGCCGCAGAGATATGTGCTGCGAGGGCTCAGCTTTCTGCAATCGTCTCATAACTAATAAAGGCAAAAGTCTGGACTGAAAGTGCCAGTACTTTTCTGTGGTCTGAAAGTTACAAAACATAGGGGTCAGGGAGCTCAAGGAACAGCGGCTAATGTGAACGGAGAGTCCAGCGAGGCAACCGCAGCAACAAGTGAAGCATTTCCAATCAAGAAAGGGAGCCGGCAATTACAGGCAGAACACCCCAGGACTCCGAGAGGAATTAAAGCACTTTACGATCCCTGCATCAACACTTGAACGCCTAATTGCAGTGCAGCCTCTCCGTGCTTCTCTGTAGCAGCGTTTAAGACCAGCCTGCAATTTTTTTTTACTTAGAATTAGAGGTTTTACATTCAGCTAAGGTGGAGTAGTTATTTTTGTGTTTCAAGAAAGAAGAAGGATGGTATTTTTTTCTCTTTGTACTCCTGTCTCTGCAGGATCCCGCAGCCAGGAGGAAATTAGGTGGGTTGTGCAACGATACAAAAGTCATGATCTACTGCAGCTACGATAGTGTGTGTTTTTTGTGTGTGTGTGTCAACGATGTGTGTGTTATACCTGCAACCTATTCTGCAAACCAAGCACATTGTTTGACACACATTCAAATTCCTCAACAACACATTTTAGAGAAAGTATAGCAGCACGTACAGATGATGCACCTCGTTGTTTACATTTTTTAAATAGTACGTGCGCAAAATTGAAAAACCCTCTTCACTGAATGCTTTTTGAATGCTTGGATTCTACTGATAGCAGTCTCAAAAACACAACATCCGAGGTTGCACACATGACAAATCTAAGGAACCGACCACATCAGCTAGTGGGCTTTCTGTGTCATTCTTCCTCAGATTTGGTTTCCAATTCAGACAAGTATGACTGAATTACTCAAAGACTGAAAATTGCTAGTGTGTAGCGTCGAGTAGTTTTACAGCGTGTGAGCAGAGTTGTGAATGAGCTGCAGTGAATGGAGAGAGGAAACAACTGTGTCGTTGCATTTAAGCCATTTTAAAGCAGGAAGGGATTATTTTTACACAGAGATGAGTCTATAGGGGTTTAATCAATGGCCAGAGAAGGAATGTAACGTTTTCCGTCTTTACATACCGTTCATCTATCCTCCCAACATCCTAGTTTTACCAGATTTTTGTAAAAGAATATTGTGGATTTCCATTTCCATAAAAGTGGATCCACAATTTTACACATCATGCTCTAACAGTGGTTGATAATTGGCTCGTTGGTCCGACAACCTCAAGCCAATCACTTCATTTTCCATTTCCTTCCAAAGCGGCCACTAAAGATCATCTGTCATTATGTGTGTGTGTGTAATTTGATTCCACAGTATCAACATCCAGTGAATCACGGTAAATCTTCTGGAAACACAATTAAGAAACCATTTATAGATGAACTGGGAGGGGCTGTGTTAAATGCTTAATACATTAAGACATTTAAATCCAATACCACCACAGAGGAGTAGTGCTCACTGATGTGCAACATTGCCTGCGATGGCCTTTACTGGGAAAAAAAAAGAGAAAAGAACGACTCCCTTGATGTAAACACCACAGCTAACCCTCTAATGGTTCTTGTCATGGTGTACTGGATATCCCCCATAATACCTTAACAGTCTGATCTCCACTGATGATTCTATTACGCACTTACAGCAGCCAGCTAAATGTAAGTAAATTGTTTTAACAGGAAATAGCTTGTAAAAACCTAAAGAGAGTAGGATCGCTTACAACTCCTAAGTATGTGATTACATTTTCTCACGATTCAAATCCCGGGACAGATTAGTGAAATCTGGTGGGAAAACAGTTGTGCTCCTCCCAACAATGATGCGTCCTTGAATAAGGCGTTGCACTACTTATTAATCTGGTACAACCGCACAGGGGCCAACGGCACAACACCACAGGACTTGCTGACTGGTCCGCTGTGAATGTAAAGAGGGGCGGAGCTTAAAAACTACTGCACAGCAAAATTTCTCCAGAGGAGTACAGGGTAAAAAAAAAAAAAAATTCTCTCCTAGCGACACAACAAACCATCTGCACCGACACTCTGGGTGATGGATGTCCACATGTAAATGAGCGCAGGCAGTATGAGAAGTAAAGCGTAATGAGTAAGAAGGGCAATCTGTTCACTGTAGCTCCGCGAAGCGACTCCTAATCCAATCTAAATGAACGAGGCTCAGCTCGGAGACGTCTCAAATTGCAGAGAGAAAACGGCGCTCTCCCTGAACTTCCTTCTTTTTTTTTTTTCCTCATCCGAGGCACGAGTCTGTGTTGTGAAGTCAGTGCGAGGGGGGCTGACCTTTCCTGGCTCTCTATCTCTTCCTCTCACTCTCCATACACTGTACATGTCTCTAGGTGATAAATGCTTTGGCTCAGCTGAAGTTGCGCCGCGGAGACGAAAGGAAAGTTAAATAGAGGCAATTCTGAGGATGTCTGGCAGACAGAGCAGACGTTAGAAAACATGTCGGGGAAAAAAAAAAATATTATGCTGGAAAACATTTATATTCAGCAAGTAGCTGTAACAGTCCACAGGAGAGTCGTAGCGACGCCGGGAAGGAAAATAGGTTGGAGAAAAAGTGCAACTTTGATGAAACGTAATAAATCTAACAAAGTAATTCGGCAAATTAACAGAACCTTTGCGGTTTGGGAGAAGCTTTCTGCACTCAGTCAGCGAAGACCTTTATTTTATAAGTTCATGGTGAGCGTTTAAAGTTAGAACTTTGGAGACATTCACACAAAAATCCAGAAGATGAAGTAATTCCTCAAAGCATGTCAGGCTCTGAAATCTTTTTTTTTTTGAGTTATGGTGTAATAGGTGAAGAATTTGTGAAGTATTTCGAGCAGGAATAGCAGGATGTAGGCCATATCACATAACAGAGGCTGCATAATGGAGTCCCTTTGGATTGACCACCATCCCTCATGTACCGTCTTTTATCCGACCACCTTGGATCGTGATGCTTTATGAAGCCAGGGTGCGACCTGCTGATAGGTCCGGTTTGAGATGTATCGCCAAGGAATTTTCGCAGGTGCAGTGAAGATTTACAGGACAGGAAGATGGATGGTGATAAAGGTTTATTAGGCAGTGCCTCCTCCAGCCAGGCGAGGCAATGTGCAAATTACTTCCTGCTGAGATCAATGAGAAATTAGGATTAGGCTAAACACTGTGCTAAATGTGCACCGTGTTGAGACTTGTTAAAGGAAGCGGTAAAGGGGGGGATTATTTTACCTGTCACTGTGGTGTAATGTTGGGTTGGAGTAATAGCTGCTACCTGTTTGGTATGGTAAGCCTTTGCATACGTGAGGGAGCAGCCATTTGCACTAATCCCACCAAAAAAATTCCTTAGTTATCGAGAAGTGTTTCCTGGTTTTCATTTGTGGTTTAGCTTTTGACTCTCTTCTTTCACCTCCTTCCTACTTGCTCTTGCCTCAGAAGCCACTAAACGAGGATGCAGAGTAAAGATCAGACCCGTACATCACACTTGTGCTGACTCGAGGCCATTACAGATTTACTGATGTGAACCTAAGCAGTGCTAAGTCCTAACAGTAATGTACAAACTATATATCACCCAGAGAAATGTTCACCTGAGCAACATAATTTAAACAATGCTATACGACGTTCCTCTACATGGCACATCGATCGGTAAATATAAACACACTGGGCGCTGCTGCCACACCTTTATTGATTCTGGTTTGGATTGACGTGTTTGCTAGACTGCCCATATAATGTGAAAGGCTGTAATAAAAATCCTAAAAGGCTTCGGACGTTTCTCTTTCACGTATCAGCATCTTTGAGCTCATTTTCTTGGCTGTTAGTTTTGATTCACTCTCACACAAATGCACCACATGCTTCTGGTCGGCCAAACAGAATACAAGGTAAGCAAGCAGCTGGTGGAGCAGAAGAGCCAGGTAATTATCTTGGAGGTGGGAAAAGCTAAAGGACTGAATGTTGCACTTCCATCGCAATTCATCAGGTGTTAAGAAACTGCTGCTGAATTTCTATTGAAGATGTGAGAAAGCAATTTTTTTTTCCCAGTGTGGTGTTTACTGCACATATACAAAAATAGACAAACCCCTCGTGACGTCGCCAACAGGCTTCCTGGAGTGCAGTTTTGAAGCTCAGTGTGGTTTCTCTCATTGTTTCCATCTTGGCAGTGGCGGACACTTTCTAACTCCCGGCTAATTCAAAAAACTGGTGAAGTAGAGAAGTGTAGGGCAAACATGTCTGCACCTTGGACTGTCCTACGATGGCGCCCACCTGTACCAAAAGCGACCTTGGTTTTAATTATTTAAGCCTTAATGCAAATTGAA